CATAATTTCATCTTGGATAACTTTGATGGGTTTTTGTCTGCACACATGCACTGTGCTGATACTAATAAAGTCTCATTGCAGAGCAGCATGTTTTCCCTCTGTAGCTCTCATCTGTACAAACACCTGCTTTTTCACAATTATACTGTGTCCTGCTCAGAGGCACAGAATCAGTTCTACTGGCACAATACTTCTATTATTTAGTGATTGATTTGTGTTTGTTAACATTTGTTGAATAAACCAGAATATGATCATGGTGTCTTTAGATTCATTAGATGTTTCAAGGGGAAATTGAAATAATGGAACTCATATCAAAGCAGACGCTCAGTTTTAAGCTTCCTATTTATTTCTTTTCTGATATCCTTTAACTCCGGCCTACTCCATACAATTTAGTTGCAAGTCACATGACTTGACACCGATCGATCACTGCGTTCCATCATATAAATACAACAGCCCATTTAATAAACATTTAATCAGCTGATTTTATTGTGTTATCTGTCTACACTCCAGTATGAAACTGCAGTGTTGTGATGTATCAGACTAGTTCAATCAGCTGCAGCGTCCAATCAATAACAGATATACAATAAGTGGGCATGTCATTCTGTAAAAGACTTTTGCTCCTCGGAGCAAAAATAAGAGCTTTGGGACGTCTGCAAGATGGTGGATCAGATCATCATCCACTTCAAGCGAGGATTGAGGAAACGACAAAAAAGAGACTTGAGATGCACCTTCGGGGTTGATTGAACTTGTTCTGATCAGCTGTTCTGGAACCGAAAACTCTGAGATCAATCAACTCAGAGCTCATGGTAAGGCTCAGAGTTCGAACGTATTTTTTTGTTCTGAGCCGAGGAGGAGAGCACAGTCTCCACAATCCCGGGATAGCAGGGAGGGGGGGGAGGCGAACTGCAGCCTGTGATTCAGCAGAACAGGGTGTCCATCCATCTGTGCATCGAGCAGGAATTTAGGAGTGAGTAAATAGGCCTATTGATTTTACATCTGAATCATCATAATGGTTGAGATTGAAATGTCAACCCTAAATAAATGTTGAATCACTATTACTATACCGATGAAAAATGACAATATATGAGCATCACATTGGAATAATATTGATTTATAGTTGTCCTACTTGATTAAGCATTGATTTGTAGTTGATTGGGTAATAATTATGTTGAAAAATCATCTATTTATAGTTGACCAGAAATTACGTGATATTAAAAAAACATTGATTTATAGTTGACCTGGAAATATGATTGAAAAGTCATTGAATTAGTTGACCGGGAAATATGATTGAAAAGTCATCTCTTTATAGTTGACTGGGAAATGATGTGATGTTGAAAAGCCATGGATTTAATGTTGACCGGGAAACATGATTAAAAAGTCATTGAATTATTGTTGACCGGGAAATATGACGGGGAGACCATCACTTGGTGGATCAACGTTCTTGAACCCCACGTCTTACAAGTCCACATCAGGTAAGCGCATATTTATTTATCTAATTTTTAATTGTATCAAATTTGTAGACATTTATTCTTTATTGACATTGTCTAACATTATATGCAGCCATAGACTATATACAAGTGTTTCAATACCATTTTGACAAATAGCACAATATCAAAGCTCCATCAAAATAGGATAAGTTACTTTGCTAGCATAAATGCTAACTTTATCACCAGAAGATAATTTCTTGTACAGGACTGTAAATCATGATAATAAATGTATTTTATCTTTGCTCAGATTTCGAGTGCTTTATATATATTTATGTGCACACCTTCCTCATGGTCATAACTGATCCAAGCTAATGCCCCTGTCATTTAAATTTAAATAAGCCAGCTAACGTGATACATCTGTCAGTCTTCTACAGTTTTCAGCCTCCATATTCAATCTATGACTGCATTTAAAGTTAGACAATTTAAATAAAGTTCAACTATAAACGTCAATGGATTCCACCACAGCCAGGCAGTCTACATCTACAATGAACTAGCGAATTGGTAACATTAGTGAATTGAAGTAAGTTAACTGTTATACTGTTTAATATCTATAAATATCTATACGTGATATTGAAATAATATAGCACCAATTCAGCCTGACTAACATTATTTATCTTCACATCATTGTCACTACTTAAAGTTTTAACTTTATGTTTTTGTTTGTATGTTTTCTGTTATAGATGCCCTGACTGAACAAATGGGGACAGAAGTCTTTGACTTTGCCCAGGCAGCACAAAAATGGCCTCCTATGCTCCAGATTGGATGAGTGGACAGAGCAGAGCAGGAGTAGTGAATTTGTTTTTTATTACATAAATAAACTTGTATTTTTTAAACTGATTATGTTCGTTCGTTTATATTTACTTATACATTTATACATTTTTAATATATTATAGTCTCTTTTCTGTGGTTCATTGAAGTAAAGTTGAATTTTAGTGAGGCTGTCTTTTCAACGTTGTCTCAATAGTAATATTGGTTGAAATAACATTGAAGTCACGTTGATTTTTAAATAATAATTTAAATTTTTAAAATACTTTCTTAACGCTGCTTTACACAAAGTTTACAATTCAACAACACCATAGCCGGAGATCCACATTATATAAGGTCATTGCAAATACCTGGATCACACTCAGAGAACTACAGGACCACATAGCGGCAGGTAACACAATGTTCCAAAACATCAGCAGAGTTAGTCTCTCTTCATTGGGTGAAGCCGCTGTATAGAGTCTCGTTCAACATACAGTAAAGTTAATTTGTGTAAAACAAGTGAGGAATACACATCCATATTTTACACATTCGGGCACCTGTATTTGTGGGTTTTAATTGTACTACATGCATGACAAAACTTTATCGCAAACTGCTATGCCTTCACACAGAAAACGCAAAAGCAAAAGCGTTATTTTATTTTTATTTGTAGTTGCTGCTTCGTGTCCATTTGGGTGTACTGTATTGTTACAAAAATACAAGTTTGAAGAGTTGGAAGAGTTTTGCAAGAATTGTTGTCTTTTGCAAGATATGTATAATGTTTTATTTTCCTCTTTTGTCAGCAGAAAAGTTGAAAAGTACAAGAAAATAAAAAACATTAAAAGTTTCAAACATACATCTCTTAGTCATTTTAAACTCTTTCAAGGTAGCGTCCATTGCTAAACAGGCCCAAACATATTAGCACAACTGCAATTGAAAAAAATCTGAAAAGGTTTGACATTTTCCATGTAAAGGCACATCAACAAACAATATATCCATCCATCCATTCATCCATCCATCCATCGTCAACCGCTTATCCTGCGTACAGGGTCGCAGGGTGCTGGAGCCAATCCCAGCTGACATCGGGCGAAAGATGGGGTACATCCCGGACAGGTCGCCAGTCCATTGCAGACAAACAATATATATACGTTGATTTTTAGTTAGCTATGATTTCAATGTTTTAATATTAAAAAGGGTGCTAAATGATGATGAATTAACATGAAATTAGCGTTGAGAGCAAAATGTTGATTCAACATAGTTTCAACATTGTTTCAATAGTAAAATTGGTTGAAATAACACTGAAGTCACGTTGATTTTTAGTTAGCTATCATTTCAACGTTGTTTCAATAGTAATATTGGTTGAAATACCATTGAAGTCACATTGTTTGTTAGTTAGACTATCATTTCAACGTTGTTTCAATAGTAATATCGGTTGAAATAACACTGAAGTCATGTTGATTTTTAGTTAGCTATCATTTCAACGTTGTTTCAATAGTAATATCGGTTGAAATAACACTGAAGTCATGTTGATTTTTAGTTAGCTATCATTTCAACGTTGTTTCAATAGTAATATTGGTTGAAATAACACTGAAGTCACGTTGATTTTTAGTTAGCTATCATTTCAACGTTGTTTCGGTATTAAAGAAGGGTGCAAAAGGATGATGCATCAACACCAGAGTCTGATGTTGATTCAATGAAATTAGCGTTGAGAGCAGAATGTTGATTCAACATAGTTTCAGTAATGTTTGCTATTTGGGTGGTGCCTTAAACATCTTGTTGGGTACACAAGCTCATTTAACCAGGTAACTGTTGCAAACATGGCAAAACGTTTTGCTTACCACAGGAGTATTTGACCAGGATGTTGATTGGTAACAAGTTTGTCGTTCCACCAGGTGCCCATATTGACACCCAAAACACACACACACAAAGCAGTGTCCATAAAAGTCTCTAACAAGGGTATTATACAGAATTAATCTGATTGGGGGAGGTCGGTGGGGGGTTCGGCCAGAGGGCTCAGAGACAGACAGGAGGAGACAGTGTTGATCAGTGACACATGGAAAGTGGGGTGAATCTTCATAGATGCTGGTAACTTAAAGGCCCTTGCACTTCTCACCAGGAAACTGTAGCAAAGCAGGCAAAACATTTTGAAATTAAACTTGCCCCAGGAGTATTTGACTAGGGTGTTAATAAGTTGATTGATCTGCCAGTTGCCAGAGTGAAGCCACGCTCACAAACAAAGAAATGCATAACAAAGATCAAATTACTCTTTTGAACATTACATATTTCTTTATATTTTATATTTTGAAACCAACTGAAATATAACGTGTCAGTATAGTTGTGTAAGTATGTATTAATCAATATGACATACTACTATTTCAATGTGTTGCAGAAGAAGAATGTTAAATATTTGTATCCTAAAAAAAACAAGAACTTAACTTAGGCAGTGACCGGCAGAACTGGTACTTAACGCCACCTGCATTTAATCTTTGATTTGATTAATTTGTGCTTTTTTTTTCTGAAGACACGTTTCACAATCCTATCCTATGCACCATTTTTTACAACTATTTATTATAAATGCTGTGAGCTTTTCTTGAGGCAGATACACAATGGACCAGTTTATAGCAGGTCAAGTCAGTTTAATTTATATGGCCCCATGTCACAGATTTGCCTCAGGGGGCTTTACAATGAGCATGACCCAGCATACTTCAACCCCAACACCCTATATCTTGAGCTCCTTGACCCTAACCAGTTCTCTGGTCTCTTTGTTCTTAACAGCTTGGCGGGTCAGTACAAGGGAACCGGTTTTACTTCTCTCTTCAGTATGAGGAAGGAGAGGAAATGGAGGGCGGCTGCCTGTACAGGAAGTCTAATGCAAAGTTCCACTCACTTCCTGGGTACCCACAATGCTCTCTGGCCAGTGGGGTGGTCAACTTCTTCCTGGCTCGTACAGATGCTGTACAGAGGGTGGGATTTGACCCCAAGCTCCAGAGGGTAGCGCATTCAGGTAGGTCTAGAGCCAAACAGAATTTAGATTCCAAGTGGCCTTAAGCCCATATTTTTCAGTTTTTGTTGGCCATGATACAAAGATGTGTTTTTCTAATATCTGTCTCTGACTCTAGAGTTCTTTATGGATGGCCTGGGCTCCTTACTGGTTGCCAGCTGTGACCATGTGTCCATTGGCCATCAGCCCAAAACAGCCAACGAAAAGGATGCAGCTCGCTACGCCAGCTTCAGAAATCCTTCACACAGTGACTCAGAGTTCAAACTGCAGCTTCACTTCTTCAAAAACAACCTCAAGTGTATCCGATATGGATAGAACACAACTGGAAGACATTGAAGTCACTGGTTGTACCTATTGACTTTATTCACATTATTTAATAACCCATAAAGAACATTATGAATTTGGAAGCTGCTGTAATAATAATAATAGTTTAATTTAGTATAATGACAAAGGTGCCACCACTGAAAAATTAAATGAGATATTAGATTTAAATAGCTTTAATCAAACACACTCAAATTTACTCAAAGAGAAATCCAACATTTACTTTTCAATTGATTGTTTTTAACCAACATTTAAGCCAGTAGATACAGACTTCGTTCTATCAAAATGATAAAAGGTAAAGAAACATCTAAAAATAGTAATCCTGTTCTTACTAAAGGTTTACATGTGTATGTTGATACAAACCTAAGAACTTATGCATAAAACCCTTTTTCAAAAAGATAAAGGTCATATTCTCAGGCTGGGTCAATTTATGTAGCCTAATACAAAACAAAACTTGTGAAAAGTTGAAATCTTCTTTAAAATGAAACACTAGTATTACAGTGCAAGGTATGCAAGTATAAAACATTTAAACGGCTCGATTTGTGAAAAGCTATTTCTCAAAGGACCTAACATTCTGTGCTAAGGATGACAGAAGAAAAATGTCACTGTTTACAATGCCCCAGGAATCACTGCGGTCTGGAGATCCAGCACCTGTATGTTACAGTTTTCTGCTGAAACACAAACATTCTGAGTCTTTGGATTCTGATTTTTGAGGCACTACTTCATTACCACTTGTAGCCAATGCATTTACCAAGTGCGCCAAACGCAGGCTCTCTGCTTTACACTCAATTTGTAATTTAATAACACATTTTTGAAAAACCTTAAACACACTTACTGCTTTACACTCTGAAATTCAATAACACACGTCTAGCAAAACTGTAATATTTATTTTGCTTCACTATTTTCTTAATTAGCATCCCACACTGACACATGTGAAAACACTTTTAGATAATAGAGTTTTTCTCAATTGCTAAGACTGGTAACTGGTATTTACTTGATCTCTATCACCTTCTTAGCACAGCAGATGTTAACATGTTTTTATTGGTTTCACACAGTGCTGTCCTTTTTTTTCTTCTGAAACACTAACAGTGATTCATGAAGCACTATTTCAGAAAACAAAACAAATTACTTTCTTAACGCTGCTTTACACAAAGTTTACAATTCAACAACACCATAGCCGGAGATCCACATTATATATGGTCATTGCAAATACCTGGATCACACTCAGAGAACTACAGGACCACATAGCGGCAGGTAACACAATGTTCCAAAACATCACCAGAGTTAGTCTCTCTACATTGGGTACTTTATTGCAAACTGCTATGCCTTCACACAGAAAACGCAAAAGCAAAAGCGTTATTTTATTTTTACTTGTAGTTACTGCTTTGTGTCCATTTGGGTGTACTGTATTGTTACAAAAATACAAGTTTGAAGAGTTGGAAGAGTTTTGCAAGAATTGTTGCCTTTGCATAATATGTATAATGTTTTATTTTCCTCTTTTGTCAGCAGAAAATTTCGCCAGTCCATCGCAGACAAACAATATATACAAAAGAAAGACAATTACAGTGCAAATGGTTATTCTCGGTCTGTGAGTCTTTTCACTGCTGCCGTCAGCTCCAGCCATGGTACGGTAACAACTTTTGTGGGTGCAACGTTTACCTTAACTATGAATAAGGAGCAATGCACTTTGTCTTCACTGACAACCAACATGTATGAGCACTGATAGTCACATCTGATCCTGACCTCCCTGGGGCCAACAAGCAAGATTCTGCTATGGGGACCTCTTACCGGACTCATGTAAACAATTTGTCATTGTTGTACAGTCACACCTGACACTGTAGAGGTCTCACTACAATCGTCCCTCTCTATAATAAACCTGAAAGGAAATGTCTTCTAGACTTGCCTTTGGGTTTAAGAAAGCTGGTTTGTCAAGATTGGGAGCCAATCTACTGGGTCATTTGGTGGAGCAGCAACTGTTCCATTAGGGTCTGAGCTGCTTGTATCTGATGCTGGCTCTACATCGCTGGCTGTGCTCACACTGGCTGAGGCTGCTTATACTTCACCTGGGTCTGTGTGACTTGCTAGACTTGCAGTACAGATGTAAGACATTTGTGCTGGGTCTGTGCTGGTGTTGGCTGAGGCTGGAAATGGATCAACTGTACTGGTGGATGGAGTCTACTGATGATGATCCAGCATGTACTCTACTGAAAAACTATAGCATAGGCCCTGTGTATTATAGATAACAATACTAGCTAGATATTATTGTTATCAGCTGCAGGTTTTCATTTCAGTTTTAATTTAGAACATTTTCAAATGTAAAATATGGTTGGGCTGAATACGCTTTGGTTATTATTTACTGATTTATGTGCATCTATTTTGCCCTGTTTGCCTTGCTAATCATATTTTAATAATCAATAATCAATGTCAATCCATTGCTTTCCATCTTGCATTAGTTAAAATGAGGAGTGCCATTACGTCCATACATTGCCTGGACTGGAGGTTTTATTTCGTGCATGCGCAAATGAACACATGTTCTCGAGCAACGGGGTTATCTTTTCTAAACTGTACTTTATAAAAACTGTTGCCTGTCAGTGTTTATTAAATGTAATAAATAGTTTTATCTCACTCTAACACTGGTAAGGCACAAAGTCTGGCAAGCAACCGGAACACAGACCAAGAGATGCACTGCCCAACTGGGTTGGCAAGACAAACAGACTACAGTGAGATTCACTGCAACCTACAACTTAACATTACTGTTATTCAATGACATCAGACTTTGTGAGGAAAGAACACAAGTTTAGCTACTTGTTGTTCCCGCAATTTACTCTCATTGAGTTTTTTCTCTTCTTTTGACTCTCTTGACATGAGAGTGACGAGGGGCCTTGCTTAATTTGCTGACCGTGGGTACCATGGCAACTCGTATCCAAAGAGTGATGCAGTTCAGTTCATCATAATGAAGCTCTACATCCTGAACTCCACTGGTTCGTTCACTGTCAGGAATTGACTCCAAGATGTTTGAGATTCATTTCTGGAGGTGTAATCTCCCTTTTGCACTCATTTTGCTTCTCTCACTAGTTTGATGGTTGTCTCCACAGATTCTACACAAATGAGGCCATCATCAACATAGAAATTGTTTTCTGATGAAGCTGGCAGCTGAGGGATGCTATTTTTCATTTTAGAGTGCAAAATACTTAAATCTAAATTTACTGGCTGGGCATAATTGCCCAGAAAAAGATGTTGCTGAAGATGACTGAGTCCAACCTCACCCTTCATCAGCTCTGGTATTTCTGGTGCTATTCTCTTCAGATGTTTCCACCTTTTGGAAGTTTAAGTAGTAGGAACGTGGGAATGTTCAAGTGGGATGAAATATCTGGTATATGTATATAGGTGGCAAGTTGATACATTTTTGTAACTTGCAATCGATTAGTGACCCCTGCTGGGGACTGTAGGCAGGCCAGTTTAGCACCCAGACTCTTTTACTATGGAGCCATGCTGTTGTAATTAGTGCAGAAAGTGGTTTGGCTTTGTCTTGCTTAAATAAACGAGGCCGTCCCTGAAATAGACATTGTCTACTAGGTAGCATATATTACAACTTTGTGCAGTCGGAGAAAAGCAACTGCAGTCGCCGGACTCGAGGTTTTAATGTCATGTGACATGGTGACGTTTTGCAGCGCCAGCAAAAGTCAGACACAATTTTTAAACAGCTTTCCTTATTTAAAGTCCAGCATGCATCACGTTAAGTCAACGCTGCGCAGCGCCGCCTGAAGTCAAATGCACCTGTCGTTATCAACCAACTAACACTGCCCTCAAGTGGCTTGGAGAACATAACCATGATATATAAAACGGAGTTAAAATAACAAATGTGGATACCATCTATGAAAGGGTTAATGCCATTCTCTCCTGACAAGTGCGTGTTCATTCCCACTTAGATTAACAGATGGATACACTAATGTAGGGAAATATATTTATGTATGCATAATTCATTAGCTACTATTATAAAGTGTTGGTAAGTGCAGATTATTCTGAAGAAAAGGTTTTCAATGTACACTAAGACACACATTGCGACCTTATGTTTTTGTGAGATTTAAGCTCAATCAATCAAGTTACTGATGTGTTGTTCTTTTATACACTTGCCATTAATGATTAATACAAACAAACTTTACTTTAGATCACGTTGTTATTTTATTGGACTTTTTATCTGAAGTACTTTATTGCAGATGAAACACACAGAAACTGGCGTAATGTATGTAAGGAAAGCCCTGATGTACAGTAAACCTCCACTAACTAATGCGCTTTCGATACACATAGGGTTTGAATCAATAAGGAAATAATAGCCTTGGAGGAACTAGCAAGAGACAGAGTTAATACAAATTATATATCAATTAATACATAATGATGTACCATTAAGGATTAAGCTACATGTCAGTAAAGTGCAGCTCGCCCAGCTGCAATATTAGTGATGCTTACAAATTAATGCATCACTAAAACCACATATATTAGCCTACTTCTAAGTTGACTACTTCTTCCACCACAGACAAAACGACTCTACATGCTATAATTAAAATATGAACCAACAACAGAAGACCAAAGGCTGAACAGAAAATGAGCTGTGTTGGAAGTGGAAACATGAAATAATAATCATTTTAATTTTCTCAGTTAAACCAGCCGGTGGCGTAATGCAATGATTCTACACACTCCGACACAGTAGATGGCGGTATGCACTTTAAAAAGAAATATTATTCCGGTATATGTGACATCTACTTAAGGCAGTTGGTCCTCCAAAGAGAAGTCATGGCGGAGAAAGGAGCAGAAGGATCCGCTAAACCTTTACTAACAGCGGCAGAAAAACAGCTCCTCCGCCGCCGAGAGGAGCTCGACTACTGGAAGAAAAACGCAGCGCGGCTCCGGAGCCGAAACCTGCGGACCGGCCTGGCGATCGGAGCGTTTGTGGTCGGCATGTGTATCCTTCACAGGTTTCCTACTCAGATAGACATTATAAGCTGTGACAGCAAATATTTTAACCGTTTTCTTCATTCAGGGGCTCGAAGGATTCAAGAGAAAATAAAAATAAAATCTACAGTAGCGGGTTTGACGAAAAAAGCAATAAATTTATTTGAACACATCAGGCAAGTTTTAAATGTCAGGTTGAGCTTAAACCATCGTTTCATTTTTTTCAAATGCATGAAAAGCAAAATCTGCAACCTAATTTACAGTCGTTAACTCTTTTTGAAGCGCTGTATTTTAACACAGTAACACTAAAGTGTTTCAACATGAATTCACTGTGTCATTGTTAACTTACGGTGTAACACAGTAAATATTAAAAAGCAGTGTACAGTGGATTCAAATTTACTGATAGAAATGTGTGACTATTTTACTATATATATATATACTTTAATAGTCTAGTGCTGATTAGTGTAGTGACCTACTGATTTACATTAATGGAAATCTTCTTGATCTTCCAAATTGACCTTCAGCCATTAGTTTTATATAATTATAATTTTAACCTTCGTTGGATAATAATTCTGTAGTACAATTTTTTTGAATTTGTAAAGAGAATATGGTCATGAGGGTTAAGGAAGCCTTGTTATTTCATGTTAACTCTAAAGATATAGTGACACAGCTGTGTGGTCAACATACCAAATCTAGAGTTCATAATATTTAGCTGTTCCCCCGACAGTATAATCTGATGACCGCTGTAAGCAGTAAACTAGCAAAAAAGATGTCTAGCTAATATAGAGACAGATACAGCAGATAAAATGATGTAAATCTCACTAAGCAAGGTAAAGATGAGAACTGACATTAATACTGCAAAAGCACCTTCTTTTTTTTTTTACTCTCCAAAGCAAAGGTCCGAAGAGGTCCTGCTGTCCACACCAGGTTAGGAGTTGATAGTTGAGGTAAAAAATCATTATGATGATGACACTGCGAAAGTTAATTTACATCAAATAAAATTGAATCTGCCTTTTAACACCAACTATGTGTTTATAGAGTGTTCTGTATTTTGTTACCAGGGGTCCATGTTCGCAGCTGAATATCCTCTTAATATGACATTAAGGAGACCATTTGAAGGGTTTTATGTTCCCCCCCCCCCCCCCCCCCCCCCCCATAGGTCAAATGTATCTGTGTCAATATGTTGAAATCACCCAGCAATGTTATACTCCTTGAAACCTACGCCATCACATATGCGGGCAAGACAGGTTTCTTGACTTTAGACATTGATATCTCCACTATGACAAAACACATTGTTACCATTCAGACAGGAGAAGAAGCCTCAGTTTAGCTGTAAATGTACAGTGTAAGTTGCAGTGACTAATGAATAGAGACTGCCACTTCTCAAGATTAAAGCGGAGCTACCATGTGTAAAATATTTTTGTAAATCTTTTAAATCACAAGGAAGACAGATGCACAATCGTGTCCCTTGTATGTTATATTATGGGAATATAGAGCTGGGGAACCTGGTACCCTGGGAACATTCCATTCAAGAGTTAAATTAACTTGATACGGCAGGTGATTTGTGAAGTCAGCAAACACCAGAAATGACTTTTTTTTTGCATCATAACTGTTTGTCACCAGAGGGTCCAAAGTATATCCTATCACTATAATACGTGAAGTACAGAGAATCCTGCACAAAACTATAAGCTCTGTCAATCGCTGCAAAAACCTTCACCTTGTGAAACTTTGAATTACTTGAAATTGATTTAAAAACATCAGAAATTGAAACTCAAGTGGATACACAGCCGCTGTCAGATCTTCATAGTTTAATTTGAAAGGAAGAGATGAGAATGGTGCTTTTCTTACTGTCAACAAATCCATGAAATCCTACTGAAGACACACAAGCTTTAAAAAAACTATTCAGAAATAAATAGTTTAATTTTCAAAAAGACTCCGCAATGTCCTCAAACAGCTGTAGTTTGTAGCAATTTTTTCCTCAAACAGAAGAAACAGTGCATGAAGATATGACAGCTGCTATATTGCCACTTACAAAGGGCCATATCAAGTCATATGAAAAATCTTCACACCTTTTCTCTAAAAAAGAATTAGGACCACAATTTGTTCTTTATCAGGAAATTCAGGAAACAGTGATCTTAAAGATAATAAAAAAAGATCCTCATTCTCACGTCTCCTGCCTCGCTGAACCCTATTATAAAAAGAGAGCACCACATGGCTTGTATGATAAGCCATGTGGTGCTCTGTGTGTGTATGTGTTTTGTTTTTATACCCAGTAAGTTAGGTCTGCGTTTCCAGTCCAATAAATAATTTCAAAGTGTTTTCCTTTAATCTGTTGTTGTCCAGTTAGCTACACCATCCTGTCCGTCAAACAGGAGAGAATCATAGAGGAGCTGGATGATGAGGCCAAGATCCACATCATCAGAGGGCCACGGACCGGCGCCAACTCCTGATGATACTGACCATGATCTGTCCTGGACTTACTGTACCCTGGCCCCTAACCACAGGGTGGGGGGGCCTTAAGTGTGACTCCTATAGAACGTATGGTGACATCACACTGAGGGGCATGTGATGAGTCATGTCTCCTGAGCTTCTCATATCTAAGACACATACCACCTACCACTCAATTCATTTAGAGATGTTACAGATTGTTTCTTTTCTGTTTGAAATGCTGTAAACTATTTTGTGAATAAAATTTACTTAGGAAAGTAGTCAATCATGTTGCCTTGACATGTTGTGGAAAAAACTGTAGCGTTAATTTTACATGATCATAATTTCCAAATAAATTCCAAATTTTTGAGAAATCTCCTCAAAATAACTATTTAACTTGGAATTGAACATTTTCTTGAGGCAAGTGTAAACATATCCATAACCACAGAGAGTAAAGTTTCCAATAACACATAAATAATAAATAAATTATACTTGAGTTTAAATTTGGCTTTTCTTTGAAGGACATTCCTATTTTTTTGTACAGTTTGTGTGATATTACCTGTACATAGTTATTTTAGGGAACTTCTTGAAGATTATTAATAATAAATATTTCTAGTTTATTTATATTGCACTTATCCAAACCTTGACAAAGACAAAACTTACACCGATCAGCCATAACGCTATGACCACCTGCCTAATATTGTGTAGGTCCCCCTTTTGCCACCAAAACGGCCCTGACCCGTCTGAAGGTGTACTGTGGTATCTGGCACCAAACATGTAAAAGATAATGTGATTCATCGGACCAGCAACCTTCATCCATTGCTCCATGGTCCAGTTCAGTTCAAAGCTCCCCACATGCTTCAGTAAACCTTGGCTGCCCGTGACCCTGTTGCTGGTTCACCGCTTTTCCTTCCTTGGACCACTTTTGATGCTCTGGCCTTTGTCAGAGTCGATCAATTCCTTACACTTGCCCATTTTTTCTGCTTTAAACACATTAACTTTGAGGGCAAAATCTCCACTTGCTGTCTAATATATCCCACGCACTACAGGTGCCATGGTAACAAGATAATCAGTGTTCTTTACTTCACCTGTCACTGGTCATAATGTTATGGCTGATACATGTATACGGTTTATGAATTACTGACAAAAAAAGCTTTACCAAACAACTCTGCACCAAACTCCATTCAGAAATCTTGCAGTTTAATGCCATCTCACATGTCAGCAGAAATGCAGTTATGTACTTAGTACATCACCTAAAGCCTTTTACAAAGGCCAATTCTCAATTTACCAAATTAATATGGAGTCCGGTATGGAGCTCTCATTAAGCAGCATCAGATCTTCAGATTTATTTTCACCATTGGTCTTTGTGGTTTAATCTGGTGGATGGAAATGACAGGAAAACCTATTCAACATTTGAAATGTTATGACTACTTGGCAGATTATTGATGGATTGAAGAGTAATGTAATGTAAAATGTATATAAATTCTCCCTTTACTCAAAGGTATCTTATGAGACTGCCATTCTTCCTACATGAAAAGAATAAAGCATGTGTGGTTTCAAATAACCTACCCAAGTCACATGCAAGCACTGTTGAAGTGTGTGAATATAATTTTGTATTCCAATTTCACAAAAACACAAACGTGCTCCTATAAAACATGCCTGTATAGACAGACCCCAAGCTCAAAGAGGTAATTAGAAGATGTCTGTGTTCTATACTACATTTTCTGTTGCACCCTTGAATGCATTGAATAGCATTTTTTAAATCACCGCAAGTATGCAAATATGGCAGTATTGTAAAATTAGGGCATTATACTGAGCATACATGAACTCGCCGTCTGGCAATACCACAGTGGGCTGCTGTGTCCATGGCATGGTCAATTGTATATATTTAGTTCTATTTGCAAATTGGGTTAAAAATGTCCTGGCTAAACTGACTGAACAACATCTAACCTTCATTAAAGGTAGACATATCCATAACACTACCAGTCCTTTATACAATCAGAGAGTCTTGTTCTATTTATTAGCTTTTTCTATTGACCATGTCTTTTTCTAAAAATTCAGATTTGGTCAAATGTTTCTTAAATTTATTTAAATGTTTACGATATACAGTATTCCTTTCCTTCCTCTACCCTGAGACTATATGGTTTTACGTCCCCAGATACATACTCAAGAAAGTTGGTGTACTGGAAGTTTTGTTATAGTTTGTGTTTGACATTTTAAAACTGCCTATTAAGTTGTCAGAATTGAATTAACAAATACAACTGGAAGATGTTGTTTACCCATAACTTTACATGTATTAACACTATTTGAAACCCAACTATTACAATCAAAAGGAAAACTTTATTTAATACAAATTGGTTTGACTAAAAACCATTTTTGTTACTGATCTGATGACCATGGCTGCTTTAATGAAAAATTTGAGAAAACTATGCCCTACAGAGAATTCAGCCCAATATGTAAAGCAATACCACCCCGCCGGGTGCACTTGATGCAAAACGCTCTCACTTAATAAATATACAAATAGTTCTTCCACAGTTGGGGGAAATATTTTTAAAAAATCAAGATTGTACAAAAGACACAAATCAAGTAAGTGACACCAATACAACAATACCAAATGCTCTACTCAATAATGATAATTAAAAGATTAAAGCTGCAAGCAGCGTTGGGCGGGCCCTCGCACTTGTAGCGCGTCCGAGCGTGAACCGACCGAGTTGCATATTCTGGAGCTCAGCCGGTGCGGCTGTGAATTTGTTACGCGGTTCCGACGCCGCATGAAGGTGTTATATGTCACTTCCTGTGTCCCCTATGTGGAGCTACATAGCACTTGCCGCTATGAATATAAATCGGTATTGGCGTGTAGATGTCTGCGGGGTGGGAGAGTTATCAAGCACGTAAAGTTTGTTTCAGATGTGACCATGTACACTGAACAATAATGTACCCAAACAATAAAATAAATTCCTTTTATATTTCCCTGCCTTGTTGTTTATGTGTACATACAGAGGAAGAATGTGAGAACAGCACACATTTCATCGTTACTGTGTTTCTGCTCCAGCCTGCCTAAAAGAAAAGCGTTTTTGGGATTAAATGGACTTTTTTAGCTGCTGCAGTGCAGGATGAACTCAGAATAGACCCATTTCTCACCTTATTATTCTAAACCATGCAACGAAGAAGAAGAAATGCATAATAAATCCTGGGACAAAATCTGTCCACAAATACTGTACAGCATGTAGTCTAATGAACAAGACTTGTGTTATAGCTGACTTGGGCAGTGAAATGTTTAATTTTTTTAATTCATGTGGTCATAGTTGTCCACAACTCAAATCAGAATATAAGAAGAAATGTTTTATACCACCTCAAGAAGGCTTCCTATCAGAAAGGTAGGAAGGTATTTCAAATGTACAACTGCAGTACTTAAATCTAAGTAAAGTAATTTCCCTGACATTACTGTGTTACGCATGTAACAGGTTTTATACTTCCTGTGAGTATAATCCAATCAATCTTATTTTCATACTGTATATCCGTTGTGTAATTTGATAAATTGTGTTGTATGTGGTGCTCGCATCGGGTACTACTAGACTTCATTGCCCTCTTCAGAGAAGACTCTGACTGCAACATGCGTCTTTGTAAAGAGAGAAACAGACAGAAAAAGTCTCTAACTCTGCCTGTCAGCTCGCTCTGCTCCGTTAAAACTGAATTTACCATACAGAATTGAATACGAGTGCACTCCAGATTTAGCTGCAGCCAGCTGACCGTGTGCTTCTCCCTATACCGCAGTTCTGTGTCCATGCATGCAGCAAACTGAAAGCACTGTCTGTCGGAGCGTCTACGTGAAAAGAAAGGAAGACATTGCTGGTAGTATTGTCTTCAGAGTTGTTAAACACCTCAGCGCACTGAAGGAAGCCATCTGACTGTGTGAGGGGCAAGATCGTTGATGTCTGCAGGCAGAGTAGGAGCTCTCCTGTCTGACTGGTCCACCAATAGCAGAGAAGATGACCCCTTGAGACACAGCCCCTCCTCATTTGCATAATGAGGCAGAAATGCATACAAAAATTTAAAAAGACAGGCAGAAATAAATACCATGGGTGAAAATAAATAAGGTAAATAAATACAAAGGAAGAATAAAACAGACAAAAATATTAAAACACACACATAAATAAATACATTAAAAAAATTAGTAATAAATAAAGTTGAATAAACAAATAAGGTAATTATAACAAAGGTGAATAAGTAAAGGCACTAATTAAAATATACATTTATGTCTCCTTGTATAATTTAATTACTACCTACATTTATTTATTTACTTAATTTTTTTGTGTATTTAATTGGATGCTTATTTATTTATTGAGCATTTATTTATTTCTGTATTTATTTCTGACTGTGTCAGGATCGGTCCTCCATAGTGGGGTGGGAGAGTTATCAAGCACGTAAAGTTTGGTTCAGATGTGAGCATGTACACTGAAGTTACAACAACTTCCTGTGTCATGGCGAAGACTTGATCTCTGACGCCACGCCACGGACACACCCATTGACGAAAACTCGCAAATAGCACAACTTTTCATCTTCAATGCCTTTAGAAGGCACAGCACAAATTTGAAGTCGGTCGGACTAAATCCCTAGGAGGAGTTCGTTAAAGTACGAAGTGTGTAAATCATCCAAAATTTGACGTAAAATTCAAAATGGCCGACTTCCTGTTGATTTTAGGGCATCGCTCCAAGAGGCTTTTTTGTGCGTCTGGACAAGATACACGTACCACAGAAAATTCGTGCACGTAGGTAAAACGTGCGGCGGGGGCTGCTTCGTTAAAAGTCACTTCCTGTTGCCAGCAGGTGGCGCTATGACTGTCTGTGAATGTCAGCATGTACATGTGTTCAGGGCGGGACTCTCATCCTACATGTACAGTTTGGTCCAGATGTGAGCATGTACACTGAAGTTACAACAACTTCCTGTTTCATTGCGAATCATCGACGCCACGGACACGCCCATTGACGAAAACGCGCAAATAGCACAACTTTTCATCGTCAATGCCTTTAGAAGGCACAGCAGAAATTTGACGTCGATCCGACTAAATCCCTAGGAGGAGTTCGTTAAAGTACGAAGTGTGTAAATCATCCAAAAATGGCCGTAAAATTCAAAATGGCCGACTTCCTGTTGACTTTAGGCTATGGGTTCTTGAGGCTTTTTTGTGCGTCTTGATACGATACATGTCCCCAGAAAATTTCGTACATGTAGGTTGAACGTGAACGAGGGGCTAATCATTTCCAATTTTCTAGGTGGCGCTAGCGAGTCATTTTGCCACGCCCATGTGCGAAACTTGTAGAATACGAAATTTTTCACCGGTTCTGACATGTTTGCAAATTTTGGTGAGTTTTCGAGTATGTTTAGGCCATGTCATTTGGGCCTACTTTGCAGAAAAAAAAAAAAAAAAATAATTAAAGCTGCAAGCAGCGTTGGGCGGGCCCTCGCACTTGTAAGCGCGTCCGCGCGTGAGCCGGCCGAGTTGCAC